ATAATCAACGTAAATAGTTCTATATAAAATGTCATTTAAACAAAAAAATGTATCATCTTATATTGACAAATTATTATATAGAAATTAACATCTATTAGGTAGGTAATAAAAAAAATTCAGTTCAATTATTTTCATAATTTTCGTAGTTACTCTGAGTTAATACATTTGATTGGTATCAAATGTTAATACTATTTTCGACGTTGTTGTTTATATAATATTATTATTGTTGTTATTATTTTTATTATAACTATTATTTTTAACAGAATGCCTTACACCAAATGATGAGAATGGTGTTTGTATTGATATTAGAAATTGTCAAAAATTACGATTGCTACTACAAGATCAAAATATCACTGAATCGACATTGAACCTTCTTCGGAATTCAATTTGTGGGTTTGTAGGTACAACTTCAAAAGTTTGCTGTCCTTTGGATAAAACAATTCCAGAAGCTAAATTTCTATCACAAACCTCGTGTGGACACAGGAAGCTCCCTAGTTCTCGAATAATTGGAGGCAGTCAATCTGAATTAGGTTAGAATTTGAATAAAATTATACATTTCATTATAATAGTTTACTTTTGTTTAGGTGCTTGGCCTTGGATGGTAGCTCTTGGATATCAAAATTTAAATATAAACAATAATAATCTACAGTGGCTGTGTGGTGGAACGCTAATCGCAGATACATACGTATTAACATCCGCCGAATGTGTAAAAAATCGTGTTAATATAAGACTGTAAATAAATTTATCGATTTTTTAATGGGCTTTCAATATGATTATATGCAAATATTAATAAATATTATTCAAATTTTTAGGACCACGGCGCGCTTGGGTGAATTAAATTTGGATCCTAACGTCAATGACGGCACAACTCCATTGGATGTTCCAATTGAACGTATTATAATACACGAAGGATACAACCCTGAAAGAGTTATCAATGATATAGCATTACTGAAATTAAGCCATAGTGTATCTTACACTCGTACGTTTTTCCATCATGGATGTTTTTTAAATTACTGATCATGCCACACTTGACAATGAAATTCATTGTACGATATGGTTATACATAAATATTATATTTCCATCGTGGAATAATTTGAAATATTTGTATATATTTCCAGAATTAATCCAACCAATCTGTTTGCCAGTCTCATTGGATGTAAAAAATATTAATTTAACAGCAACTACTATGCCATTTGTTGCTGGTTGGGGTTCCACCGATCCTTCGTCAGTTTTAAGTAAACATAAAAATATACTAGCCATGTTGCATGATAATGAATAAAGTAATATTGAGTAGTATTATTGATTATAAAATAAAACACTTACATTTATTAGAATACCTAAATGGCTACATGTGTTTATAAAATTACAATAATGTATACATGTTATAATATTATTATTGTTCTGTGTCAGGTGAACCACGCAATACATATTTGCTGGAAACTCAAATTCCAATAGCGAATACTACGAAATGTAAGCAATTATACGAGAAAAACAACATTGTAATCGATAGCARAATTATGATTTGTGCTGGACCTCAGGAGGGAGGAAAAGATGCTTGTCGAGTAATTTCCTTTTTTATTTGTATATGTGAATGGAATATTTGGGCCTCATGATTTTAATGATGAATATTTCAAATCCATTTCAGGGTGACTCTGGTGGACCTTTAATGTTTCTCATAAAAAATAAATACTATTTGATGGGCATAGTATCTCGTGGACCTAAAATATGTGGTGAACCAGGTTATCCAGGAATATACACCAGGGTGTCTTTTTTTACCGATTGGATTGTAAAAAAAATGAACAGTTAGCTATGAGCCTTTAATAAATTTGGAACTCTTTAAATGTTTAAATGTTCATATTATGCTAAAGTGTAGCTTTATTAAACACGTAGGACGTAGGTAGGTCATTGATGCAGAGCGAACAATATAATTTGACGGCGCCTCCAATTAATAATAATTTTTAAAATTCAATAGTTAAACAACATTGTAAAATTTAAGAATGGTGCTATGAGTTGGTACCGCTATTTGGTTATTTTTCATTTAATAATAAATGTATAATTCAGTTGAATAACACTACTAAAAAGACAGTTAATGCTATGGGATTAAAGTAGTTTTAAAGAAAACTGTGCCTTTTAATTTATAATTATTTATTTCATGTTTTACAACCTTTTCCCTTACAAAAAGAGGAATTACTAAGTATTTAAAAAAATAAAATAAAGCCTCAAGATATTGTAATCTCACAACAGTCACAAGTTAGAAGAATTTTAAAAAATGGTACATAAAAGTTAACGATTCAAATGGTTTAATATATAGTTATAATTTATAAAAATTAATATTAAATATTATACTAGGTATTAACTAACTATAATGATAGATTTTTAAAATATAGTATAAGATTTGTTTTTAATTTTTGTGTACCTATTATTTTAGTATTTATGTATAATTTTTTTCAATTATTTATTTGTAAATATAATTATATAAACATTTGTTATAATTTATTTATACCTACTTACTTTTAGTATTTACTTTTTAGGTACATTGGTACTTTGAACAAGTACCAATGAAGTAAATTGTAATAAGACCTGTACATTAGAGTGGGGGGACGCCACTATGGTTAAGGGCGATCTCGACTAGTTGTTAAATAGTTATTTGGGTAAGTGAGGCCCGATGGAGACCTGCTCAGTGTGCAAGATTTGTGGTTATTCTAATAAAGTGAATTGTCTCTAAATTGTTGCTTGTTGTTATTTAATAATCAATCATTGGATTCTTAAGTTCAGGCTATAATGTATTGTAGAAGTTAACAATTGTCATGAAAAATACATTTTTTTTACCTTTTATGGAGAATTAAAAATAGTTAACAGTTCGTTACCTAAATATATATAGGTGTACTCTATCCCTTTATTTAAGGAGGTAGGCTGGAGTCCTAAATATATTTTATAGAAAAATGAGATCCCTATTGTAATATATGTTATTTGCAACTATACAATTACCCCYACACAGATAAAAGTTGTAATTTATATGAATTATTTAAAAAAGATTAAAATTTGGAATAATTTATAGTGAATAAAAATATTCTTTGTTTTATCTGAATCACATAAAACTATAACATTTACAGATATTATACCTAATATAATAATTAATAATATTCAACATCAAACATTTTACACATACAGTATATTTCTTTATTCTGACATTTTTAAATTTAAACTGTAACTCTTTATTTCCATATAATAACAGTAAGCATAAAATATACACAATGGTCTATACTCTATAAGTAGGTAATATGAAATATTAGAATAATAATAGAATACCTAATAATATTAGAATATATTTAAATAGTTATGACGATTACAAATCTATATGTCYATTCTTTAGAGCAAAGTTATTTAAAATATTTTCTGACTTGATAAAATTTGAAATATCTCTTTCAATAGGTATGTAAAATTGGCATATTTGTAAATMTATCCTGGTTTACAATAGATCTGGTATATGTTTTTATTCTCCGCATGGTAGAGAAGGAACGTTCACAAGAAGCGGAGCTGATGGACATAGTAAAAGCAACTTGCTGAAGTTTATGAATTTCTAGCTTAAAATAATTTGCGAATTTTCGTAATTTTTACGTATGTTGTCAAAATTAAAATTTGAATGATTGCAAAAAAAAATTGTGACTATGTATTTCTTTTATTTTTCAACTGCTATTGTAAAAATATGTTAGGAGCTTTGTATTAAATTTTCAAATCTTAGATATAAAAGGAAAATTTTTTGAATCTTGAAAATGGTATTGTCCAATTTGGAAGTGCGAAAACTTCAAAAGTAGGTATTTTTTAAGTTTTGATTTTACCAATTTAATAAACGCTAAAAACTGCACATTAAAAAAAAAAAAATTAAAAATATTCAATTGTAAGTATTTTTTTTTTTTTAATGCGCGTGATAAAAAAAATGAAGTTTTTGAAATTTTTCATCGATAACTTCAAAGTGAAGTTTGAGCGGGATTTTTTTTACATTCTTATAAAGCACCGTAAAACACATTTTGAAAAAAATAAAATTTAAAAAATC